TCAGCTTCTTCATGATCACCATCGCCAACAGTAAAGCTCGCAGCATACCTGAGAATGTCAGGTTTCTTCATAGCGACATGTTTAGCAGATGTCCACGAGTGAAACAATGCCGAATCAGGAACGAACAAATGTTCAATGCTAAAGGCATGACGAGTCTCCGACCATTCACCTTCATCCTTTGCGTATGTCGCAAGAACATGGTCAGCAACTCGTACTAGTAGATGACACACCTGACATTCGTGAGTCTTGTGATCAGCCGATCCGTTAAGACTCTTTACAACGTGAAACCATCTCTCGTAAAGGGAATCCATTTCTTAGAATGCGAAGACACGAGGTAACTGATCAGTACTGTATCGGGTGAAGATCCGATCGGTTTCCTATCAAGGTATTGAAGTACCAGAGACTGTGGGGCCTTTGGCTGTCTCGGTTTCCGACCACCCTGCATCGATTTCATGCGCTGATACGTTGGGGCATGTCTTTGATTCGTCTCGACATGTTGACGTACGTCTTCGTCGTACCCCCCGGCCGCTGGCTGCTGGCTGCCCCCGGCTGCTGGCTGCTGGCTGCCCCGGCTGCTGGCTGCTGGCTGCTGGCTGCTGGCTGCTGGCTGCTGGCTGCCCCCGGCTGCTGGCTGCCCCCCGGCTGCCCCCGGCTGCCCGGACGTGCCTTCGGCACGGAGCTCGTGCATAAATTTAAAGGTGCTAACTACGATAAAGCCATGCACGTCCACCCGAACCTGTTCAACGAACTTGCAGCTACCCACTACGTCAATGACATCGAACTTCAACATGCCAAACCCATCGACTCGGAACATGCAATCGAATGAGTACTCGACCCCCATCCAGACACACACACATTTAGCACAGATATGTTGGTTTTAAATTTTTTAATTATAAAGTTTGTATCTCGGTATTTGCTTCGATGAGGGTTATTACGCTATCGTGCCGCAAAACTCCGTAGTAGTTCTCTAGTTTTTCGAGATAGAAACGAAGATGTTTCTCCGTCTTCAGGTGGTTCTTCATCATCTGCATCGATCGCCATTGGTTGTCGCTGCATGGAAGGAAACAGATAAAAAACATGTATAAGATCTCTGGTATTTCAAATAAAGAGAATTGCACGACAGATTACTTACCACGAACACATAAATTCAGGCTGCATCCCGGCCTCCAGCTTCCTCCGGTGGTGTTTCGAGCGGAGATGCTCGACAAACGGCCGGAGGCCGGTCATAGTCTTCGAACACAAGGAACAAGAGAGCAGCATTTTGTCTCATTCAGGTTTGTGGAATGGGGCTGATCAAGGTGGATCGAATCACTTTTATCCCCACCAGGTTGGTCCTTGGTTGAAGGCTCAACATTATAACTCGGTTCGACGGGAAGGTTCGGGTGCGCCTTTTATGTATCTCCTGCACGCGACACCACCACTCGGCTTGGTTGCGAAATCTTGTAGCTAAATGTACGTTCAACTTAACAAACTTACCTCCACGTTTCTTCATCGAAGGAAAATAAATAAATTATTATGAGGAAGTAAAAGGAGCTCCGAGCATAGCGAGGAGTAAAATGAAGTTTTTTATTACTCCCTTATGCAGATAGTGTGGCCACGTACGACGCACTCCTCTTAACCTTTTGACCGGCGTACGCGAGGGCTCGGGCGAGCTTTTGATGCGTATCCGGTACGCGACTCCCGTTTTGCCTGGCTTTGTGGTTTGATGCGTACGAACTTGAAAATTTCAAACTGGTCGGAGCAAGTGGTGTGCACGTATATGGAAGCAATCTTCATTTCCTCAAATCATTTCGTAGTGACAGTGTTCCTTTTTTCATGTAGTCCTGGAATTATTTTAGCCTAGTCGTTTAGTCGGACAAGATACGGGCATCCCTCTTCATCTCCTTGCAGCATTGCTTCGTACAAGGTATGTGATCGTCGGCCATTGCATGTCTATCCGATTAGGATCGTACACAATTCTTGCTCGTAGTCTGATTCCATATATAGACATATTTATTTTTTCGTAATTTTTCAGCGTTTGATTTATTTGTTCGTAATTTTTCGTCGTTTGCAGCTACAACACTTTCGTCATACATCTGCGCGTGTGAATGCACATGTGCATCTTACCTGGTGATGAGCATGACCCTCCCCCCGATTGAATTGTTGTATAAATTCGTGCAAGGTAAGTAAAATAGTTTACTAAGTCTTGCTGTTAGGTAAATCGGGGGGAGGATTTTTTTCCAACGACTCTCCAGTACCTGTAGACACGTATGTGATGGTGATTGGGTTATTACGGTCGTCATCAAAGTGTTGAAGGGGGTTGCGATGGTGATTGTGTTAGCAAAACGATAGGATCTGTACACATAACAACAAGATTTGCTAATAGGGTATATAGAACCTGTACACACACACACACACACACACACACACACACACACACACATACATGTAAGAATAACGATAGGATCTGTGCACGTAACAACTAGATCTAGGGCATATAGGACTTGTACACATATAAGATGATTATTAGGGTTTGCTGAGTGTTGTTGTTGCCGTTGTGATCTGTAGTACCTGCACACATAAAAAGAGTAGAGTTGGCATGGTAATAGGATTGTCATGGTGATAGGGTTACTAGGGTTATCGTCTCTCGAAATATTAGGGTTATCATCACCAGAAATATTAGGGTTATCGCCATGGTGATAGGGTTAGCAGGAATATTAGGGTTATGGTTATCAGGATATAGGATTGTCATGGTGATAGGGTTACGAGGGCTACTAGGGTTATCGTCTCTCGAAATATTAGGGTTATTGTCGGGTTTATCGTCACCAGAACTATTAGGGTTATCGTCGTGGTGATATGGTTATCAGGAGTATTAGGGTTATGGTCATAGGGTTATCAGGAATATTAGGGTTATGGCCATGGTGTTAGGATTATCAGAATTATTAGGGTTATCGCCATGGTGATAGCCCTAGGGTTATGGTCATGGTCTTATCAGAAATATTAGGGTTATTGCCATGGTGTTCAAAATTTAAATAATAATAATAATGGTGATAGCCCTAGGGTTATGGTCATGGTGTTAGAGTTATCAGAAATATTAGGGTTATCGCCATGGTGATAGCCCTAGGGTTAGGGTTATCGTCATGTTGATAGGGTTAGGGTTATCATCGTCAGGAATATTAGGGTTATCGCCATGGTGATAGCCCTAGGGTTAGGGTTATCGTCATGGTGATAGGGTTAGGGTTACCGGGATTATTAGGGTTAATATGCCCCGATTTTTAGGGTTAAAACGTGCAGATTTAGGGTTAAATCGCAAAATTTAGGGTTAAAACGCCCCGGTTTTTAGGGTTAAATCGCATTACGTCATCGATGACGTCATGTGTAAAACGCTCCGATTTTAGGTTAAATCGCAAAATTTTACCGTAAATCGCAAAAATTAGGGTTAAAACGCCCCGGTTTTTAGGGTTAAATCGCTATGACGTCATCGATGACGTCAGTGAGTTGGTATGCCCATAATACTTTCTACTACCGTGGGTGTCAGCGCAGTTCAACACGCGTACAAAGTATTTTACACGCTCCCTGCTACCAGCGCGGGTCTTGAACTCGGGACCTCATGATTCGCAGGCAGGCCTGCAAACTAATCGGCCATATGCCTTGGTGAATGGGGTTATACAGAGGCTTTTACGGTATTCCGTCCGATGTCATCCCCGCTGCGAGTGGGGAGCTTCATGCCCACGATAAAAGAGAACTTCATGATATCTGAATACTTCATCAGAGAAAGCTATTCGAGCTCAAAACGACACAAGACAATGGCCGTGATAAAGATCCTCGTACAGATGGCGATGTGACTGGCCTCCAATCCAAGTGCTGAAAAAGACTGGAGGTTTTCTTCAAAATAAGATTTTGAAAAAGGCAGAGCGCTCAAGTGCGGCGAACACGGCCAAACGCCATGTTTTCCTTGGTAACGTGACTTCAGCCGCATTATGACCATGGCGAGTTGCAGCGCTGATCTTGAAGTACAGCGGCACCAGAAAAAGTGTCCTTATTCTACCTCAGTGGTCAGTAAGGGTAGACTGGTCACTAGTCACACTGGTCAGTAGGGGTAGACTGGTCACTAGTCACACTGGTCAGTAGGGATAGACTGGTCACTAGTCACACTGGTCAGTAGGGATAGACTGGTCACTAGTCACACTGGTCAGTAGGGGTAGACTGGTCACTAGTCACACTGGTCAGTAGGGGTAGACTGGTCACTAGTCACACTGGTCAGTAGGGATAGACTGGTCACTAGTCACACTGGTCAGTAGGGGTAGACTGGTCACTAGTCACACTGGTCAGTAGGGATAGACTGGTCACTAGTCACACTGGTCAGTAGGGGTAGACTGGTCACTAGTCACACTGGTCAGTAGGGATAGACTGGTCACTAGTCACACTGGTCAGTAGGGGTAGACTGGTCACTAGTCACACTGGTCAGTAGGGGTAGACTGGTCACTAGTCACACTGGTCAGTAGGGATAGACTGGTCACTAGTCACACTGGTCAGTAGGGATAGACTGGTCACTAGTCACACTGGTCAGTAGGGGTAGACTGGTCACTAGTCACACTGGTCAGTAGGGGTAGACTGGTCACTAGTCACACTGGTCAGTAGGGATAGACTGGTCACTAGTCACACTGGTCAGTAGGGATAGACTGGTCACTAGTCACACTGGTCAGTAGGGGTAGACTGGTCACTAGTCACACTGGTCAGTAGGGATAGACTGGTCACTAGTCACACTGGTCAGTAGGGGTAGACTGGTCACTAGTCACACTGGTCAGTAGGGATAGACTGGTCACTAGTCACACTGGTCAGTAGGGGTAGACTGGTCACTAGTCACACTGGTCAGTAGGGGTAGACTGGTCACTAGTCACACTGGTCAGTAGGGATAGACTGGTCACTAGTCACACTGGTCAGTAGGGGTAGACTGGTCACTAGTCACACTGATCTTTAGTTATAGGTTTTACTGTAGACCTTGGAAAAAATGTACTCACCTTGTTGAATGGTGGTAACAGCTGCTGAGACACGTGAAACCTTATCACTAGTGTCTTGCTGCTGCTCCAGTAGTTGTCCAATGCTTGTTGAGGTTGTAGCACTTTGCTCCTGTAGTTGGCGGACAGTTGTGTTGGTCTGGTTTTGCATTTCCACTATGCGTTCACATGCTGCAGTTGTATCTTGTTCACCTAAATACATGATAAGATAGGTACACATAAATACTCTCTCAAATGCACACCAATGCATGCACCCATGTACGAATGCACAAGTACACACACAAACACACATATATATGATGGACCCAGCAGCAGGCCTGTTCCTATAATGGGTCGGTTTGGGTGTTCTCCCTATAGCGGGTCGGTTTGAGTCGCATATATGGACAGCTCAGAGTGCACAGTGCGAGAGGTGCATATCGTATGCCTTATAGACACAAATATTTAGCTGGGCTCAGAGTACACAGCGTCATGCACACTCTGTGCTGAAAATAAGCAAAAAAGCAGATGTAGAAGGTCAACTAACGGAGAACTGTGCTTCAAATAAGCAAAAAGCAGATGTAGAAGGTCAACTAACATAACGGAGAACTGAAGATCAGGGGATCAACTAAAGGTTATGGCTACGCAATGCATACCGGTATCAGAATATGCCCGTAATCTAAACAATAAAATGAATGCCGTTGCGCTACACGTCCAGTGCAGAATCTACGTAAGTTTGGCCTCTGGAAATACACCTCGTACGGAGTTTTCCCGTGTAGGCTTCTGTGGACGCGGTTGTTGTAGCTGTAGTAAAACAGCGGCAGACGATCAGGCCAATTTTTATCTTCCAGCAGGTCACGTCTTAGGAATTGCGCCAGTGTCTGGTTGAAGCGCTCCTAGCGGCCTTGACTTTGTGGGTGATACGGTCGGCCGTTGATCTTTTGTGCCCGCATCTCGTCCATGAGTGCCGACAAATCACCATTGTTGAATTCTTTCCCGTTGGCCGTTTGGAGAATTCTTGGAGGTCCGTACAAGTACATCGTAGAAAGGATCACGCGGCACACTTCCTTCGCAGTTTTGGCTCTGATGGCACCACCCATCGCGAATCGGCTGTGACAGTCCACAATATTACAGACATATTGGAAGCCTCGACTCGCTGGGAGCTTTTTCAAGTCCATTTGCCAGCGACTGTTCGAGTAAGTGGCCTTTATTGTTTTTCGTACCAACGCTGTCTTAGGCAGAGGATTCTGTCGGGCACAGTGCTCACATTCGAGTGTTTGGCGCACCAGTTGCAGGACTGTCTCTCGGATGATAGGATAATACGAACACCGTAAGGATTCGTATATCGTCTCGGGTCCCCGATGATCAATACTATGTTCTTCTGCAATCTTGCTGATCAATTCCTCCCTTGAGATGCATTTCCTGTGCGCAACGTTTAGCTCGTTTGACTTGTAATAGAGTGCGCCATCCTCGTACAAGAATCTCTCAATAATTTTCTTGATACGTTGTTCATTTAGACTTCCATAGTTTCCATCTTCTACTAGTATACACAACTTGTATACACTCATCTAGGCCTGCCCAAAACGTTTCTGTATTTCGATCTTTTGTCTTTGAATTCACCCTGCACGTTTTCCCTACTGCAATTCCACTGCCCTCCGCCTCCTTCATGCTCTCGCCCTATTCTTCCATATCCATCTTTGCTTCAGTATAATAGTAAAAGTAGTCTTGGTATGACCCATCCCTCATCTCTTTCACAAGATCAATAATTCCTTCCGTTGCCTATTTTCGTGTGACTCACTGTGAGTGCGAAATTGAGTCCCGGGGTCATGGGGTCAATGAGGATTTCCCGGTTCTTCCATTTCCGTTATACAAGGTCATGGACCCCTTGCACTCAGAGGACCCAGTCAAGAGGTCATGTGTGCACTTGCATGACTTCCTTTTTTGGTCAAACCCGCCCTGCTATAGGGAGCCGACCCGTTATAGGGGCCGACCTGTTATAGGGACCCACATATATACAAACACATACACACACCTTTGACCTTTGACGCCCATCGCCGGAGGCGATGATAGCAATGCTACGGCAGAAGCCATAGCAACTTGTGCTGGGATTACACCATTCAACAGCACACACAAACACAATCACCTAAGAAGAAGGAAATGTTTTACCCGTGACCCCTTCGTTGTTTGAAGTTATTGGTGTGAGTAATGGCTACCGAGGGTAGCAATGGTCGGCTTTAGAGCGCATGGAGTAGGAGAGTTAGTTTCTTGTATTATTCAACAGGCGAAAGGTACCGTTCAACAGTTTATTGATATTTTACTGGAGACTTTGAAAAAAATGTACTCACCTTGTTGAATGGTGGTAACAGCTGCTGAGACACGTGAAAGCTTATCACTAGTGTCTTGCTGGTGCTGTTGCAGTTGACCAATATTGGTGGTACTTGTAGCACTTTGCTCCAGTAGTTGTCCAATGCTTGTGGTACTTGTAGCACTTTGCTCCAGTAGTTGTCCAATGCTTGTGGAACTTGTAGCACTTTGCTCCTGTAGTTGACGGACAGTTGTGTTGGTCTGGTTTTGCATTTCCACTATGCGTTCACATGCTGCAGTTGTATCTTGTTCACCTATATACATGATAAGATAGGTACACATAAACACTCTCTCACATACACACACATGTGTATGCACCCATGTACGAATACACAAGTACACACACACACATACACATATATACATGTATATACAAACACACAGACACACACAAACACACACACACAAACACAAACAGACACACACACACAGACACACACACAGACACACACACAAACACACACAGCAGACAAACACCTTCCCACAAAACACACGCACATGCACACATGTGCACGCACACATGCACACATGTGCACACACACACACACACACACACACACACACACACACACACACACACACACACACACGGACACAAAGGCAGAGAAAACAGAGACAACCGGCTATATCATTGTTGTAACGCTTTGTTTGATGCGCATAGCAATACTAAGGCAATCTCAGACAACTGATATCCTCTAGATCACCTGACAACTGATAACCTCTAGATCATCATACAACTGATAACCTTTAGATCATCAGACAACTGATAACCTCGAGATCACCTGACAGCTGATAGCCTCTAGATTACCTGACAGCTGATAACCTCTAGATCACCTGACAGCTGATAACCTCCACATCACCTGGCTGCAAACATCACAGACAACTGATAACTTCTACATCACCTGGCTGCAAACATCTCGGACAACTGATAACTTCTACATCACCTGGCTGCAAACATATTTCCAGCCAAGCAGTTTAGTCTAACATTAAAGTTAGTGAGACATGATGCGGATGGTGTCAATTTACATGTGAGTTGAAAAGAAGGAGAGGTGAAAGTCAAGTCTCAGCAATGGCGGCAAGGTGACTTCAGTCAACTTTGGGTATAACAACACTCGGCGGGGTATCAAAAGTTAAATGTGCATTGCGGTATTGCACTATGTGCATACTTATGCATGGTACCGGTACACTAGCAACTCAAGGTACCGGTACACTAGCAACTCAAGGTACCGGTACACTAGCAACTCAAGGTACCGGTACACTAGCAACTCAAGGTACCGGTACACTAGCAATTCAAGGTACCAGTACACTAGCAATTCAAGGTACCGGTACACTAGCAACTCAAGGTACCGGTACACTAGCAACTCAAGGTACCGGTACACTTGCAACTCAAGGTACCGGTACACTAGCAACTCAAGGTACCGGTTCACTAGCAACTCAAGGTACCGGTACACTTGCAACTCAAGGTACCGGTACACTAGCAACTCAAGGTACCGGTACACTAGCAACTCAAGGTACCGGTACACTTGCAACTCAAGGTACCGGTACACTAGCAACTCAAGGTACCGGTACACTAGCAACTCAAGGTACCGGTACACTAGCAGCTCAAGGTACCGGTACACTAGCAACTCAAGGTACCGGTACACTAGCAACTCTAGGTACCGGTACACTAGCAACTCAAGGTACCGGTACACTTGCAACTCAAGGTACCGGTACACTAGCAACTCAAGGTACCGGTACACTAGCAACTCAAGGTACCGGTACACTAGCTACTCAAGGTACCGGTACACTAGCAACTCAAGGTACCGGTACACTAGCAATTCAAGGTACCGGTACACTAGCAACTCAAGGTACCGGTACACTAGCCACTCAAGGTACCGGTACACTAGCAACTCAAGGTACCGGTACACTTGCAACTCAAGGTACCGGTACACTAGCAACTCAAGGTACCGGTACACTAGCTACTCAAGGTACCGGTACACTAGCAACTCAAGGTACCGGTACACTAGCAACTCAAGGTACCGGTACACTAGCAACTCAAAGTACCGGTACACTAGCAACTCAAGGTACCGGTACACTAGCAACTCAAGGTACCGGTACACTAGCAACTCAAGGTACCGGTACACTTGCAACTCAAGGTACCGGTACACTAGCAACTCAAGGTACCGGTACACTAGCAACTCAAGGTACCGGTACACTAGCAACTCAAGGTACCGGTACACTAGCAACTCAAGGTACCGGTACACTTGCAACTCAAGGTACCGGTACACTAGCAACTCAAGGTACCGGTACACTAGCAACTCAAGGTACCGGTACACTAGCAACTCAAGGTACCGGTACACTTGCAACTCAAGGTACCGGTACACTAGCAACTCAAGGTACCGGTACACTAGCAACTCAAGGTACCGGTACACTAGCAGCTCAAGGTACCGGTACACTAGCAACTCAAGGTACCGGTACACTAGCTACTCAAGGTACCGGTACACTAGCAACTCAAGGTACCGGTACACTAGCAACTCAAGGTACCGGTACACTAGCAACTCAAGGTACCGGTACACTAGCTACTCAAGCGCATGCGCCTATGTGTGAGACAAAACGACCCGCAAAAAAATAGCAAATAACGCAAAAAACTCACTGATAAGCTCAGTGACTTCACATGCGTCACTGCAATAGTATTATAGGGACTTGTACAGTGTGGAGTCTGTCACTACAATAGTATTATAGGGACTGGTACAGTGGGGAGTCTTTACAACGGTTGGTTCTGGTGGGTGGGAGGCGCCAATTACGGTTGAATGGAAGGCTATACTGGGGGGGTAACTTGAGCAGGGACCTGTTTGTGATGCTGCTGTAGGTATTTTCTCTGTCGATGATGGATCACCCAATGGGCAATTTTTGACTTCTTTCATGCGATCTGACAAACCTAAAAGCAAATCATTGTGCAGGGAGAAGAAACCCTGGTGCCAGAATTTCCCATTTTAGATAGGGTTGTGTGGGCAGGCATGTATTTACGGCCATTTCCCCACTTGTGATTCAACCAACATTCCCTGCTTTATGATGACACTACATCGGAGCCTTTACATCATTTCAGCAGACATGTTGACAGCAAATGATTTACCTCTCGCCATTGTGTCGCTCAGCTGTGCCACTTGTTCATAGGTAGTCCGGGCTTCCAGTTGTATTTCATCCATCTTGTCGTTGGTTGTGCGAGCTTCAGCAGAGACCTCCTGCTGGACCTGAGTCATGCGGTTGTTGGTGACTTCAACCTGTGCAGAGAGATTATCCAACCTGGTGCCTAGTTGCTGATGAGATGTGGAGAGATCCCGTACGGCAGTTGACACACTCCTCACAGTGTCGAGTATAGTGGTAACGAGGCCTGCAGAAGCACCCATAGATTCTTCCAGTGGAGATGCAGTCTGCGTAAATTGGGTAAAAGACAAACATGAAACCACACAACAGAGCAAGCAAGGAAGATTGTCAGCGGGAAAAAAATGTAAAAAAGCGGCGTGGAGAAGATAGTTTCACCCTCTGATACAAGACCATACAAAATCATCTGTTTTTGGTCAATGTAGTTGGTTGCACTGAAATGCTCACAACTTATACCGTTCTTGACGAAAGTTTACAATCGAAATACCAGGAAAGAAGAAGAGCAGCGCAGCTCTCCAATGCAACAATTGCCAACGGGCTACAATGGAGCGTTGCGCAATTGGAGCATTCTGCCATGAATGAGTGTGAAATGGCTGACATCGAGGGCATTTGCTGGTATATTCAGCTCGGTGGACTATTCGAGGCGCTGCGGTATTTGATATGTGACAAGTGTGGTGTTGAGATTGGGCTCATTGTTCTCTATGCAGGGGGAGGGGTCTTTCTATACAGGCCAAGGTTATGAAAATCTGATAACCAGAATCAAAAATATGGCCAGTGTGTAAGGGTTAACATAATAGCAATTCATAATATTGTAATTCCAGTTCAGGAAATCAACGTGAAAGCCAATAAAATCCAGAACCTGTAGCAATTACCAAAGGAGCAATACAGCTAGCTGATGAAAGATAATAACAACAAAACTCTAAGATCGCGCATACGATGAAGTCAGCAGCGAGGCAAAGGAGAGCACAGAGGGTCTAAATCTTGCCATGTACGTACTGGCTAAGTCAGAAGCATTAAGTAATAGTGCCCAAAGACGATAAGGACAACCTTGCCAGAGCGCTGCCCTACAGACTCATTAACCCGGCCAAGTCCGAAGTGGGTGTGTCCGTTCCTGATGGTTCACGTAGAGTCACCCATTCTGGACGTGCTGTTCACACACCCATCAGATATGCTCAACTCTATTATTTCTTCAGATTGTTTCCCAGGATACTTGCATAATGTCTCTCAGACTCTTTTTCTCTTCACTTGGCACAGTCTTGACAGATTCTATTAGCCATTTCGCGCCACTCTTTTGTCATTAGCTTTTTTCCTGCTTTGGATGTACCCATGACTGACAAGATGCAAGAGTTGTGCCAGGTACAGGTCCACCGGTTGGTTTGCACCCGCTCAAGCAACACCACAATCATTATCACAGTCACCCCAATACAACCACCCCTATACAACCACCCCTATACAACTACCCCTATACAACCACCCCTATACAACCACCCCTATACAACCACCCCTATACAACCACCCCTATACAACCACCCCTATACATCCACCCCTATACAACCACCCCTATACAACCACCCCTATACAACAACCCCTATACAACCACCCCTATACAACCACCCCTATACAACCACCCCTATACAACCACCCCTATACAACCATCCCTATACAAGCACCCCTATACAACCACCCCTATACAACCACCCCTATACAACCACCCCTATACAACCACCCCTATACAACCACCCATATACAACCACCCCTATACAAGCACCCCTATACAACCACCCCTATACAACCACCCCTATACAACCACCCCTATACAACCACCCCTATACAACCACCCCTATACAACCACCCCTATACAACCACCCCTATACAACCACCCCTATATAACCACCCCTATACAACCACCCCTATACAACCAACCCTATACAACCACCCCTATACAACCACCCCTATACAACCACCCCTATACAACCACCCCTATACAACCACCCCTATACAACCACCCCTATACAACCACCCCTATACAACCACCCCTATACAACCACCCCTATACAACCACCCCTATACAACCACCCCTATACAACCACCCCTATATAACCACCCCTATACAACCACCCCTATACAACCACCCCTATACAACCATCCCTATACGACCACCCCTATACGACCACCCCTATACAACCACCCCTATACAACCACCCCTATACAACCACCCCTGTACAACCACCCATATACAAGCACCCCTATACCACCACCCATATACAACCACCCCTATACAACCACCCATATACAACCACCCCTATACAACCACCCCTATACAACCACCCCTATACAACCACCCATATACAACCACCCCTATACAACCACCCATATACAACCACCCCTATACAACCACCCCTATACAACCACCCCTATACAACCACCCATATACAACCACCCCTATACAACCACCCCTATACAACCACCCCTATACAACCACCCCTATACAACCACCCCTATACAACCACCCCTATACAACCACCCCTATACAACCACCCCTATACAACCACCCCTATACAACCACCCCTATACAACCACCCCTATACAACCATCCCTATACGACCACCCCTATTCGACCACCCCTATACAACCACCCCTATACAACCACCCCTATACAACCACCCCTATACAACCACCCATATACAACCACCCCTATACAACCACCCATATACAACCACCCCTATACAACCACCCCTATACAACCACCCCTATACAACCACCCCTATACAACCACCCCTATACAACCACCCCTATACAACCACCCCTATACAACCACCCCTATACAACCACCCCTATACGACCATCCCTATACGACCACCCCTATACGACCACCCCTATACAACCACCCCTATACAACCACCCCTATACAACCACCCCTATACAATCACCCATATACAACCACCCCTATACAACCACCCATATACAACCACCCCTATACAACCACCCATATACAACCACCCCTATACAACCACCCCTATACAACACCCCTATACAACCACCCATATACAACCACCTCTATACAACCACCCATATACAACCACCCCTATACAACCACCCCTATACAACCACCCCTATACAACCACCCATATACAACCACCCCTATACAAGCACCCCTATACCACCACCCCTATACAACCACCCTATACAACCACCCCTATACAAGCATCCCTAGAACCACCCCTATACAAGCATTCCTAGAACCACCCCTATGGACAAGCATCCCCACATGCACACTGCAGAAGCACTCCCACGGACACCCCCGCAAGCAACCACAAGAACACCCCCACAGATACTCCCACAGTAACTCCCACAAACAGCACACGTACACACACACACACAACTACAAACATCTACACACACATACATACACACCAAGGCATTTACTTCAGAGCTTAAACAGGAAGCAGTGAGGAAACTAATTGTTTGGACGATGGTGTGTGTAGGGTTTTCTGTTTGTTTTTATTACTATTAACATCCCACTGCACGCACAGACATTGAAGACAAGGTTTGGGCTAGGCTGGAACTCACGCGGGGGAAATGGGGTTAGGCTTACACCCAGGCCACCACATGGTAGGACGAATGTGGAGGGGGCCGCTAACAAGGTTAGGCTTACACCGCACTTCCACATGGTAGGACAGATGTGGAAGTAGGCTGCTAACGGGGTTACGCTAACACCCGGACATCTGGATGGTAGGACGAATGCAGAGGGGCTGGTAACCTGGAGTTGGGTATCAGCTCAAAGGCTTACGGGGTGCTTTGCAGCCACCCACTCCATGTGAATGCCACCCAAAAATGAGATTGCTGGGGGGGGGGGGGGGAGGCGTGAGCCCCAATCTAGCTGACCTTAACATGGGAACTACATGCAAGTGCACAGCGACGTTCAAGGACATAAATGCATTTGAGTCTACAGCAGATAGTGTCAAGAAGACATGTGCCATCACCTATGCAGGGAGCAGCACGGGAGAGCAAAAGCCTTCATACAGAGAGGAGTGCTAGGAGGGCAGTGTGGACCCTCCTGCCGCCAGCAGTGCTAAGGAGGGCAGTGTGGTCACCACGACCTATACGCGAGTAGTGTCAGGGGGCAGTGCTGTCACTCATACAGCAGATAGTGTCAAGGGGGCAACGCCGTCACTCAGGCAGCTGGTAGTGCTAGGAGGGCGGTGTATGTACTCACGCCGACGCCAGTGCCTTCGCGATTGGCTCCATGTCCGATTCTGACAGACGGACATACCGGAGGTAAGCGTTGCTCCGCCATCGGCTGGCCCCTTGGATGACGTAAGGTGGCAGGCCATTCCTTCCGGCGGCAGTGGCTGCACCGATACGCAGGCTATGGCTGGTGATCTTCTGGCCAGGGAGAGCTCGGCGGAGTAAGTCGTTCATGTCTGAGGGGCGAAGCGGCTGGCCAGACTGGTAGCGGAAATACGCTCCCCCCACTCGGGGCGCAGCTGTGCGTACTTCGAGAATGCGGCTACAGGGCAGGTGCCATCGTTGGTGGCACCGACCGTCACATCGCTGCCCTCTCCCAGTTGCGTTGTTTTGGAGAACGGGATAGCCAGCGTCACTGTGTTCTCCCGGATGCAGACGCGTTCCTGCGTCAGCATCTTCCGCGGGTCGGTGGAGGCATACTCGCTGACTCGCAGGAACCCGTAGTAGGCGAGTGTGATAGCGCTCCAGAGCATGGCTTGGTCCGCTGGTGATAGACGGGAGTGCGGCAGAAAGCCCTGGATTGCACGGAGGTGTTGCTGCGTGACAGCACGGCGTTCCTGCACCTGGCTGCTCGTGCACTGGTTGCGGGCGATACCCTGGAGCAGCAGGTCCAGTCGTCAGTCCTGGAACGGGGACAACGTCAGGTGGTTGACCACGCAGTAATGCCGGAGGCCATGGAGGTATACCTTGATAGTTGCTAGCCTGCACCTGGATGACATGTATGGTAGGAAATCCAGTAGGCGGGTGGCCTGAATTGGGTATGGCGCGACACGGTGCAGGCTGGCGTACCTCTCGGATGCCGTCACACCGGCAGCGTACGACTAGGCGGTACTTGTTGCCACTCCCGCAAGGATGAGGCCCATAGTGTGGTCAGTAGGCGTGTTAGCTGCCAGACTTCTAGCGGCATGGGGACAGGAGACGCCTGGGGATGTAGCTTCCGGAAGCTCTCGACCTGCAGCCGGGACAAATGGTCAGCAAGAACGTTGTCAACACCACGTATGTGTGCTAAAAACACAACCAT